TATTTGTAGGGGTTATTATAGCAGAATTCTTAACCCCAACCCAGGCCTCACTAATTTTCAAACCCTGGTTACGGCCATGAAAAAAAAACCCACACTGGTATGCATTCAGACAAGTATCAACTATACAATGGATAATATAAAAAATTAAAATTGGGTGAAATGTGTTATGAAGAAAATTGCCGACTATATATATCAATACCCTGATATAATACAAATACCCTGGCCAATCATCACTCCAAGCGGCTGAGTTTACCCACATTTTGTGACATCAACTTTGGAAAGAAGTGGCTCAGAAAGTCATAAATAGCCAATTTCCAATGAATGATAAACACGAGTACCAACATCATTTTCATCTATGTGGACCTGTATTATGAGCTTATACACAAATGACCATACAAAAGTGAATCAACAAATATTTATTGGAATCGAAAAACAGGTGGCATAATAAAACAAACTCATCCATGCATTTATTAAAACCCGACAGATGAAGGTTCAGTTTTGAGACTTCAAGCAATGTGATGCCAATTCGGTGGACCATTTGAAACAATTCATCAGGTCATAAAATTGTGCAACTATACAATAAGCCACCAATACACAGACCCTGGAGAACTGCTGGCAGAGGGAAAACCCTTTCTAGTTACATCCCAAGACTAATGAGGTACATACACTACTCTAGTAGCTGTAATCTGACAATTGAATGCAGGATTTCAGAAATACCATACAGTTCAACTGCATTTAATAACTTATCAATATAAATGAAACTTTAGGAAGCAATGAATTTGGATTCCTTAAGTACTGATATGAACTTGCATGTAAACTCAAAGGTGACATTGGACCATTAGCAAAACTTTATTTCACAAGTATAAACAAATTTGACATCAATTTTAGACTCATTGAAATAAGAACCATCATCAAAATGAGAAACAAAAAAAACAAAACAACTAACTACACTTAGGGTACACTAAAGAGTATAACTTGAGCAGAGGTTAGAAAGCAAAGACGCCGCAGGGAATTGAACCCCGTCCTGAGAATCAGGAGTGCCTCCACCGGAGTCTTTTGCTTTTTTTCTTATGAGGTTAAAAAAAAGCAAAACCTGAAGGAACAATCCTAAGATTATTCCCTCAGGAAAAGAAAAACCTCAAACCTGCTGCTCTACAATACTCGGGTCTTCTTTACCCTGCCCCGTCCTGAGAATCAGGAGTGCCTCCACCGGAGTCTTTTGCTTTTTTTCTTATGAGGTTAAAAAAAAAGCAAAACCTGAAGGAACAATCCTAAGATTATTCCCTCAGGAAAAGAAAAACCTCAAACCTGCTGCTCTACAATACTCGGGTCTTCTTTACCCTTAAACTATGCAGACTGCAGGTATCGCCAATCCCTGGATAAACTTCAAAACATCCAAAATGCCATTGCTACTATTGAAGCAACTCATTTTCATATGCTTCTACTTGGAAGATCAAATCTCTGACCAGCGAGGTCTTGAACAAGGCTGCACTTGCATTCAGGTGTGACTTGTTCCTATTTAAAAGCTGAAACACAAAGAGAAGAGTTTAGAGCCCCCCCACCCACCCAACCCAAAAGTGTCATAACCAATGTAATTCAAACATCAATTACCACCAAACAATGGTCCAGGTCTCGAAATTGCACCAACATGGCCAGAACAAAATCCTGCCTTTGTGAATCACCATTCCTGTAACTAGACAGACGCTCGCAGGGTTTTTCCATTCCCCCCCACAGACTCCCCGAACTATTTTCATAATCTTTAAAATCTTCAAAAGTACACATAAAAACTTATCTCCAGCCAGTGACGCTTTACACCCAATTCTTCAGAGTAAAGTTTTAGCAAGTCTACAGCTGCAATGGAAAAAAAACAGAGCAAAACGTTTACAAGCCCACATCCCCCTCCCTCCCCATCCCAATACAATTTAAATCAATTTACAATCCATTGCAAATACTTGTTGCACAATTGCTTTGATGCAAGCACATCCATCCACTCCCATGTTATGGCCCAGTCTCAATTTTAGAATCACAACAGCATACCTGAAAAGATAGAAAGTGTTGCCCCACCCCTCCCAAATTCCAAACAGTAACATTGGATTTGATAGAAATTTTAGTGCAAGTGTTACGTGCATGCATATTTATGAAAAAGTGAATGTTTGTTCAACCCACACATAAGATTAAGATCAACTACATGTACTTAACTCAGCAGAGCGATGCTCAATTAGCAGCAAAATATGACGAACAAGGTTGATCAGAGCGGCTGGATGTTTCATCAGGCGGTTAGAGCTCTCCCAGATGACAAGACAATTTTGCTCCCTAAGTGAAATTGACCTAAGAAAATCAAGAATTGAAGGAAGAAAAAAAAAAAAAAAAAAAAAGGAAAAGGAAAAGACTCGCAGACACACAAAGGAACTTTAGTGAAGGGCTTCCGAGGTTTGGACAAGGCTCTCAAGCGCACGGTAGCAGGATTTGATCACTAATCATTCAAGTGAAGACATTCATCAGGGCAACTGCTCTCACAGACAGCCTCGCATTCAGATGCAGTTGAGAAGGCGGGGGACAAGACGGGTAATCTGAAACAAAGAGCTTCTACACAAACACTTCCACCACACCGACTTCAATACTAAGGAGTTAAGAGATATAAAAGAAACAGTGCATAAAGCAAATAAAATAAAATAGTGTAGCTTCTGAAGCATTGGTGATTGACGTTACTGAAGATTACAAAATGTTGCATGAGGATTCTACAATCAAGTTTAAAGATTCAGACACCTGGTAACTAGACTCCACAGGACGACATCATGTAACTTTCACCACACAGCTGGCTGATGAGATTTCTGCAGAAGAGAAAGGAAAGTGCAAAGCCCTCCCCACCCCAAACAAATCTTTTCCAGATAACTTTCGGTTATACAGCCAACGCCAAATAAAGCTGCACAGTTGCGCAGCTTTTCCCAGCCACTATAAATTTGGAGTTAGGAGCACATTTGTGCAACAGCTGAACAGACTATCGCTATACATTTGTAAAGCAATTTTTTCACCCTGCACAGTTGCACAGAGCAGTGGCTGGGCAATTAAAACATTTTAAAAGTTTAGTAGTTTAAAATCTTCTGTTGCACAACGAATTGTCCTGCCTGCCGAAGTATTCAGTGGAACCGGATGAAGTGGCATTCTTCACGAGGCGTCGTAAAATTCTGCAAGACCAAAAATGGCAACAAAAAAAAAGACCCCCTCAGCCCACCCTTACAAAACAGCCCAATATCCAAGTAAAAACAAAGTCTATCAGACATTAAAATGGTAGGCTTATGTATAAGAGACTACAATTTAATGCATAAAGCATATCTTCAAGTTAAATTTGTATATTTTGCCTTTCTTCCTTCGACCTGAGTACAGTTGTAGGACTGGACTGATCTGCCTCTCCACCTTGAACAGAGTCGACATCAAGCCCTGGCATCCAAGCTCTACAAAAAGCGCCAAGCTTTACACTCACACCTGAAAAAGCACAGAGAAATACCCAAGAAAGCCCCAGACATACCCCAAGAAACAAAATGCATACCAAAATATTTCAAATCACAACAAGCTATGCATTTATTAACTGAAAATGGGAACAGTTACAGAATGTACACTTACATACAAATTACAAAGCTAATTTGTAATAAGTGCTCGACCACACATCTTAACAATTGTAACAGACTATTAATGGAATAAGGTTAGGAACAAATGGGCTTGCTTAGTGACCTTACGTGACCAAAAGAGGCAGAAGTTGATTGATGCGAAAGCAAATCTTTACATACAATGTTAGGATGACATCTTCAGTTGAAAGCATTCAGGGACACTGCACACTGAAAAATGCAAAGGGGGAGGAAAAGAAAGCCTACACACATCCCCGCTCTTCAAAATACAAAAATTTTACCAAACAATAAGCAACTAATACAATTACTGCATAGACACTTAGCCATGAAATTGTATTCAAGTACAATACAATACAATGACAGACGAAAGCAAATGAATGCCATTTACATGAATACCCCATTACTTGCCATTAGAAAACGTTAAAAGCATCTTGGCCTCTACTGAAGTAGCTTTGCTCCTTAAGTGTGTGTGGGGGGG